GCCGTGTCAGGCAGTCTTTTTCCGGCTCTAGAAAAGCTGTGACCTACCGGGGCGGATAGGTTGACCCACGGCACTGCATACGTGCTTAATACCATGCAATTACAGACCTTAGCGCAAAAAGTCGGACTTCGCCCGTGCTTTGCAGTCTTAGAAGCACGACACTGAGATAAAACCTAGGCAGTGATCGGGGTTTCTCAGTATAGAAAAACCACTCATGCTTAAAGCTGACTATCAGTGGAAATGTCTTTAAAAATAATAATACTAATAAAGTTGCAAAGGAGTCTTAAAATTGTTGCATTCCTTTAAATGAGACTCCCCATGTGCCCTTGAACAAATCATAGCTAAAATAACTTGTTAAGGTTATTGAACCTTAACATGCCTAAAGATCACAATTTCGAGGAGGTGGGGGAAAAAACCTGCACAGAAGAAGCACAGGTAAAGTAATAGTACAATAGTAACCACACTATTGTAAAATTCCAAAGCTTTAGATCATATATAACAACATTATACATGTCCACAGTCATTTGTAAATGCTGCTTGAAATAAAACACATCTAATGGACAGCTATATCTTATATATTGTTTAAACTTATTGCTAAACTTTGGTTAGGGGTCATAGGCTAATATACTTAATTGGGTTATATCTCAAGCAACTAACCATTAATGCCAACTATATACTTACCCCCACCCATTCACTTCCTCTATAATTCAACTTGAAAGCATTTCACTATATATGTCATACTCTTGTGCTTTGCTCTTCACCCTAAGACCATGGACTGTAATGCTACTGTATGTAGAGCTTACACTGAACAAAGTGACCTCTCTCTGACAAGGAGCTTAATCTCAGCTTTGTTAAGACTGCTTCCGCACAAACAGAATAAGCTCTGTTTTACCTTTTCTGGTTCTGAAGGACAATACAAGTTATGCCTAAATTACAGCTATTCTTGCCAGTGCCTATAATTAAAGCACATGGTCATAAAATGGCCTAAAACGGATACTGGAGCACACAGGGATATCAAACACACCAAAATGCTCTTTAAGACTGACCTTCCCAGCACACTTATTGTTGGAGCAACCAAATATACGTAATACAGACTGAATTGAATGATTTATTGGGCAAAAAACCTAAATCACATGTAATAGTTAAAAAAAACGAGTGGTGAAATGTGTTGGGTGATATGTCTTAATATTTTATGGGACATCAATGACTTTAAATGCCATCTATTATTTGAATCATTGATGTGTATTTAAAAACTATTTTAATTATTTAAAAAATATGCACTCAGGATGCTTCTGAGATCTAGTAGCTGTGTTGTTTAAGCACCTCCTCAGAAGGTCACTTGTGGTGAACTATCAACAAAGAGGAGGATGACAACAGTACTGTCAGCGGTACATTCCATAACACACACACACACACACACACACACACACACACACAC